CTAAATTACCCCATGCATTCTCCTTCTTTGAATTCTAATCTTACAACCCCATAAAAGCTATAATTAAAACAATGCTATTGAATTATAGTAACAGTATTTCCTTGCTTGTTTTCATCAAAACCAGCTGTAATTATAGGAGGAAAAGTATATTAAGATACACTCCACTGCAGAGAAAGCTCATGAAGCCAGTATGTCTGTGGGTATTACATGGTTTCTGTGTCTTTTAACTTCCTGCTATGAACTACACATCATAGTCTCTGATCCTGTCATCAGTTCTTCATTGGGCAGAAACACTGTGGTTCATTCATTTTTTTTGTCATATCAACAACCTTTCCTCTTTGCTCTGAGCTTTCTCTCCCCCTTCAATTCTCTCAAATAACACACAACAGGGGTAAGGCACAGGCAACTTACTGACCATAGGCTAAGCAAAAAACAGGAATTGTGTACTACAATTGGAATACTCAAGTACAGTGACAGAGAGGAGAGCTTACCCTAAATCCATAATGAGGAATGCTAAAGTACTGAATCCATGAGAGCTTGGGCAGTAAGCTTCCAGAATACAGTGATAGACCTGAAAAAAACTACAAAGAGCAGAACCACAAGTTAGTACCAGTCCTGTGACTAAGAATTCTAGACAAGCTCCTCCCTCTTCACGACCCCTACATCCTTCTGACCATTTCTGCTTTGACCTTCAGACCAAGTCTTTCAAAACATTCTTTCAGTTAACTCTAAACCCAAGTCTTCACTCTTAGCAAAGCCAAGGTTCTTTGTGGTTTTTAAAAGAAAGATCTGTCACCCCACTCTGCAGAAGCCAAACTGTTTATGTTATCTTTAAGATGGCATTCAATCTATACACATCCTTTAAGCTTTAAATAAATACATCTATGCTACATTCTTACAATCATTCCAGATTCCTTATTATATGTAATTTATGTACCTACAGAGTTTATATTGTATAATTCAGGGAATAGCGATATTTAGAACAGAAACATTATTGGTTTCATACATTGTTGATATATGATTGGTTGAATCTCTTGACAATATGACAGGCCATGTGTACTTACTATTCTAATAAAACTAGTGCCACTCAGGAAGCATGCTGGAAGAATGCTTTCCAACTCATTTTATGTCCACCTGACACAAACTAATGGGATGGAGGGAACATAAATTAAGAAAATGCCTCTATAAAATAATCTATAGTCAAGTCAGTGGGACATTGTTTATTAGTGATTAATAGGGCAGGGCTCAGCCCATTGTAATTGATACCATCCCTAGGCTGTGGTCCTGGTTTCTATAAGAAAGCAGGCTGAGCAAGCCATAGGGAGCAATCCCAAAGGCTCCTCCATTGCCTCTATGTTTGCTCCTGCCTCCATGTTTCTGCCAGCGTGAGTTTCTGCCCTGACCTCCTTTGCTGATGAACAAGTTGAAGTATAAGCTCAATAAAGCATTTCTTCCCTAAGATATTTGTGGCATAATGTTTTCTCACAGTTGTAGAAATTCTCACTGAGATAAACACTGGACATCATATACCTACTTCTACTTCCAAGGCTCAATAAGGCTTGTTAAAAGAGTGTTGACTCTCTATCCATGACTACAAGTAATTTGGGATTCAATTAAAATACAGCCTTAAGAAAATTTCTGAAGATTCAGTTTCAGAACTAGAGTTTAAGATCAAACATAGAAAATGTATACAATGACTATTTGTCTTAGTTACTTTCCTGTTGCTGTGATAAACACCATGACAACACATCCAAAAGTCAGAGGCTTGTTAAAATAGAAATTATAAACATAATGGGAAAGAAATGAGGGAAAAATTAATTCACAATAACTTCAAAAATGGGAAGTGAGTAAATATCCTGGAATAAATCCAACCAAATGAAATATTTCTACAATAAAAATTTTAAGAAACTGAAACTAAAGAAATTGAAGAAGATACTAAAAGACAGAAAGACCTCCTATGCTTATATTCCATAGGATAAATATTATGAAATATATATCCTACCAAAAGCAATCGTCAGATTCAATGCAGTCCCCATCAAAATTCCAATATAATTCCAATATAATTTTTTTAAAAACCCTCAAATTTCACATGGAAATACAAAAGACCCAGAATAGCCAGAACAATTCTGAATAACAACAGCAAGACTACTGAAGATATTACTGGAGAGATCACCACCTGCTGGAGGGATCACCACCCACTGGAGGAATCACTACCCACTAGAGGAATTACCACCCATTGGAGGGATCACCACTCACTGGAAGGATTACAATCCTTTGGTAAGAGAACCCATCCCCTTCTTATATGATGAGTAATTCATCTTTTCCACTGATAGGGTTTCTGGAGGATTGTGTGGACATCTGGGAAAAAGAGCAGTTGACTCTGGCAAGTATTATCACCCCATGTGTCCTTCTCTTATACAGAGGCTAGCTTGCTGTTCGCTCCGTAGGAGCAGTGTCCCATTCAAATCAAAGGATACATGAGTCCAGTGATTTCCTGCCTCGCAAGCTTAGCAAGCACGCCTTAGGCGCACTGTGCAACCAAATATTTGCTTCTCTACATCTAGTTTTATAAGCACATCTAGCAAAAGTAAAAACCAAGTGAACTCTAGCAACACCACTGTGTCCTTTAGGGAATGAGGGATTGTTAGGATGCTCTTGAGAATTAACTTCAAAGGCTGCCTGCATGATTCAAAGGGGAAAACCTGGGACACATGAATTTGTCCCAAGAAAGCTTTCTGGTTTTTTTTTTTTAAGTCTAAGACTAGATACTCATAACTGAACTCTTAGTAGAAAAGCCACTTTAGTTATACTGTCAAATTTTTATTATCATTTTAAAAAATCATAAACAAAATTTTTAAATTATTAAGGTTTTTACTGTGGTGAGACCATCTGTTTCCCTGAGCACTGATGTGGGTGATGTGTCCTCCTTCAGAGCCTTCTGAACAGTGGTTTCAGTTCACATCTCAGGAAAGGGGCCCTACCAGGTTGGCTTCCGTTTGTTTTCTGTTTTGTTTTGTTTATCAGTGTTTAGTCCCCATGCAGGTAATGATGGGCTGGTCATTTTTAGCAGAGGAGTCTGGATGAAACTGTAACCTAAGTGGGAGCTTGGGGAGGGGAGATCCAGGACATCATTTATGAGAGACCAATTTAAGTTTCCCTGGGGAGGCCTGTAGATCTGCTGAGATGCAAGAGGCCATTTAACATTCATGTGGAGAGAGGACCCCTTTATCCTGAGAGCTATTTTACCTTAATTAAATCTATTTAGTGATGAGTTACTCTAACATCCTTCATCCTACTAGCAGCAGCGGTGGAGGGGAGGAGGCCTATGTCATTGGAAGAGGTTTCACATCCTATCAGTATACAGTTATGTTGATCTGTTGATTTGTTTCCTTGGTATCTGTGGCAATCCATCTGGATACCTCCACAGGGTTTCAGTTCTGATCTCACATCTGGGTTTGTAATTATCTCCAACCCCCTTTTTCTGTTTTGGAAAATTATACATCATTAACACATACGTATGACAGATACCTGTGTAGACTCCTACCTCAGTTTGGTTTCTATTGCTGTACCAAAAAAATTCATCATGAGCAAAAGTACGTGGAAAAGGGGGTTTATTTAGCTGACCATCCTGACCATATTCTGTCATTAAGAGCAGCCAAGATAGAGACTCAAGGGAGGAAAGAATCTGAGGCAGGAACTGAAACAGAGACCATGAAGGATGCTGATCACTGGCATCCACCCATGGCTTCCTCAGCCTACTTTCTTATACAACCCAGGATGACCTCCCCAGAATGGTACTTTCTACAATGGGCTGGGCCCTCCCACATCAATTAATCAAGAAACTACCTTTAAAGGTTTGTCTATAAGTGAATCTGATGGAATCATTTTCTCAACTGAGATACTGAGGCTGATTCTCTCTCTCTCTCTCTCTCTCTCTCTCTCTCTCTCACACACACACACACACACACACACACACACACACACACACACACTGGTTTCTCTGTATAGCCCTGGTTGTCCTGGAACTTACTCTGTAAACCAGGCTGGCCTGGGCAAGTCCCACCTCCTTTTGACAATGTTCCCTCTTCAAAATGACCAGAGCTTCTTTCAAGTTGACAAAAAAAAACCAAACAAACAAAAAAACAAAAAACAAAAAAAAACCAACCATCAAAATCATAACATCTGTATTGCATCACTCATAGCCTGGAGTCCCCAGTGAATTTCTTGTAAGAGATAGGATGGTTAGAATTTAGTTTCTCAATACTCCATAGCCTTTCTGAAACAGACAATTTACCAGAGGGGTCTCATTGTCCTGCATCTTGTCTGACCTAGCACATGTCCTCTCTGAATATCATGTCTTCTTTGCTGTAGCTTTCAAGCTTTGTTGGAACTAGGATAGCTTTCCCAGTCATGTCACTTTAACTGTGTGCAACATGAGGATAAAGCTCAGACATTTTTAAATGAATTTGGTTTTATCAAGTAGTTTAGTCAAACAAAGGTAGCAAAACCACAGGTAATTACATTGATTACATATATTTTTGTTTTGTATCTGTAATAATTGAGATTGTTTGTATAAAGCTTTAGAAGCCAGTATTTACAACTGTTACCCTTAGTTGGTAACACTTATATTAACTCTGTTGATTTAAGTAAAGGTTTGACATCAATGTACTGACCATTCACTTACAAATTGTAATATCCTGTCTATCATCTCTAAGGTTTATCGCTTATATATTGTAAATAACTTACTTGGCCACTTACAACCTACATAAACTTTCTAGTTTTTCTTTTTGTTCTGGAAATATTTAGTTTAATCTTCATACATAAATTGCTCTTTTAAAAAAAATCTATCTTTACCACTTTCTCCTCTTCCTTCTTTCTTCTTTTGTATTTGTTTTTCTTTTTTGAGGCAGGGTCTCTACATTTAGCCTCTGCTGCCCTGAAACTCACTCTGTAGACCAGGCTGGCCTTGAACTCACCAAGATTTACCTGCCTCTACCTCCCAAGAGCTGGGATGAAAGGTGTGCACCAACATTCCGAGCATCACTTTTACATTATTATATTTTTAAAACTAACTTTTAAAAAATTCCATGAGATATGGGTGTTTGACTGTTTACAGTATACATTTAAGAAGCAACTGTTTCTTTATCATCAGGATACAGAAGAAGAGTAAAATGAAATCTTTTAAACCAATAACAAGAATACAGTTAAAATTTGTGTTTGATGTTGCTGTTGAAATCTACTGGTGAGTTTCACTATCTCAGTAAGAAGCCTGTCAGCTTCCGTACAGGCTCCCTTATTTGTTCACATCTGAAACATGTTAGGGTGAAGTGGAAATGTAAGGGTTCTTTGGAAAGTCAGTTGTATTGGAAAGTGTTTTGCTGGGGCAAAACATGAGGGAGTGTTTTCCTGAAATGAACACAGGTGGAGGACTAAGGCAGACTTGTGAAGGAACATTTTGCTAAAGGGAGGTTACAGGAGAGAGGATGTCCTGCTAAAGCAAGCAAGTGAAGGACACATGATGAAGGATTCTTTGCTAACAACAGGCACGTGTTGGTCTGCCTTACGTTGAGTAGTTGAGCTGCATTTGTCAGGATTCCATAGAGAGAAACACACAAAAAAACTTCCGGTGGTGTGATGCCAACAGGAGCACCCAAGTATGTTACACGCTTTTAGCTCTAAGAACCAAAAAGCTAAGGGTTCCTTTATAGACACTTGTTGATGGACAGGCCAGCAGGTTAGGTAGAGTACTCTGAGTACAAGTCCTGATGTAATTAATGGGCAGAATGTTTCATCACTTTGTCTCCTGTCTGTGGTGACTTAACATTTTGATTGGATGCTGTAAACTATGGGCAGTGAGCTAAAAGTGCTGAAATCTGGGGGAAAGGGTTCCAGGACACATGTGGTGAAATTACAAGTATGCTCAAGGACAGTGACCATTTCACCTGCCTCTTTTCTGCTTTTCTTTCCCTTGGGTGAAAAGGAGACACATGGGGGACACTGGACAGACTACTACAATGGCAGTAACCAAGCACTCATTTTCCTATTGTATTATGGTCTGCTCTACAAGATACAAAACCTGTGTGACGCTGTGGCTAGTGAGGTCATAAGTATCAGGGGAGAATCTGCTATTATTCTTCTGAACTGATATGGTATTAAACTGACTTCTAATGAGTTACTGTTACACCCATAGATTAGTACATCTCAGACATTAATCCAGAGAAGCTTGTTTTTGCAGGTGATGGTGATAGATAGAGGTTCACAACATCAGTAGATGCTGATTGACACAAAGACCCACAACATCAGTAGATCGTGACTGACAGAGACCCACAACATCAGTAGATGGTGATTGACAAAGACCCACAACTGCAAAGAAAAGAGACTGCAAAAGATCCAACCGTGAACAGGAAGTCTGTATTACACCTCTCTTCAAGGTTCAAGGATCATGATGAAACACAGGTTAGAAAGTCTGTATGAGCCAAAAGCAGTGGGTAACTACAGTGAAGCAGTGTCGACTAGTCACAATTGTGCAGTGACACATGTGAATGCAAAACAGTTGTGACAACATGTGAAACAATTGAGCAAGATCAAGCCAGACACATCCCAGCACAGAGGGCAGAGGTGGACATGAAGTCCCACACTTAACTGAGGAGCTATTGGCAACCACTGGGAATGCAGTACCAGTTTTCTTTAAGCATGTAGAGTTTGGAAGCCAACATATACACAGGCACACACAGACAGTCTAAGGTGACCCAGTGGGTTTATAAAAAGTAAAACAAAACATGAGGCAGGATGGGTAGAGTGGTGAGTGTGACAGGACATGGAGTAGCTACTTTGCAGATGCTCATCCAGTGCCATGGTCAAGGCAACTTGTAGAAGAGAGAGTTTGTTCAGCCTTCAGTTTCCAGAGTGATAAGAATCCATCTTGGCAAAGGGGGTATGGCAGCAGTCAGCCAGCATGGACACGGGGTCAGGAAGCAGAATGCTCACCTGTTCACATGAATACACAAAACAGGGAGGGAAGAGCAAGTGGGGAAGACCACAACCACTCAGAACCTGCCCCCAGAGACATACTTTCCCCATCATGTCTCTACCTCACAGCAATTGTGAACTCAGTGTCCTCTAAGGCTCAGGACATAGCTCATTCAATTTGGGAGGGAGAAAATAGGGGTAGACTTGATCAAAACACCTTATAGGCATTTATACAACTCAAACAAAATTTAATTAAAAACATATTATTGACGATTTACATTACTGGATGGCCATATGTATAGGACCATATAAATAGGAAATATAAACAAAACTGAGCACTCTCTCAAAGCCGTGCATTTCCCATTGCCAAACTACAGGATGTTCTTGTACCAAAAGAAATGACATAAATAGTAGCACACTCAATAGTTCTATTCACTTGATATCCTTTGCAGGAAAGTATAGAATCTGGTTGTTTGCCCATTGATTCATATATGTTAAGTGTATAATTTATGGGCATTTAAGGCTAAAACTGAGTAACCAATTTTACAAAGCTGAGCAGAAGTATGCTGATATAGGAGACTGACTTAGTACTAAAGGCTCTGGAACCTCCCACTATTTCTAGTGCTTTTCAGAACACAAGGGAGCCCTGAGATAGCGTCCTCCTGATGAACACCACTTACATTTTCATGACCTTTGCTTTCCCATTAGAGATTAGTGAATAAACCAAGTCATCTCTGCTGTGACTAAAATGACAGCAAGTCTCTTACACCAGTATGAAAGCAAGGCAGCAATCTGTTCCCTTTGTGAGGGAATCAGTCAACCACAGCATTTTCCTAAATTCCAGCTTATTATGGTTTCTAATATGATTCCAAGAAATGTCTTTTAAGAACCCACTAGAAATGGCTGGCTAACTACATCCTAGTGCTGACATTAGAGCAATAGTCACAAAAGAGGAAGAAAGGCAGCTCCTTCTCTCCTACTTTGTTTTGTATATGGCCTCATGTCCCAAGTACTGATTATCAAGCAGGTTACATGTCCAAGAAGGAAGAGAGGAGATTCTTTCTCTTAGAAAAACACACTCACCAGCATGAACACAAAGTAGATGGTCACAAGCAGTGTTGGCACTGCCACTGCATTCTCCCCAGCTCCTATAGACAGTGGCAGGGAGCTAGCAGAATAAGCCAGCACCATGGCAGTACATATCATAGTGAAGAAACACTTCAGACTAATTTCTACTCCTTAGAGAAAAAAAATAAATTAGTCCAGTTCCCCGAGTCAAGAGAATTGTACGTTTTTCAAGTATTTTAATAATCACAGGGACTTGTAACCATTTTAAAACCAGTCAACTATTCTGGATCTCCCATTTCATCACTTCCTTCCATGCAGCCACAGAGAGTTGTTAGACAGGTTTTTTTTTTAATTCTATTGTTAAATCTGTATTTATGTCAGTCTGTGTGAAAGTATGCCACATGTGTGCAGTTTCCCTATGGAGGCCAGAAGGGAGCATCAGATCTTCTACAGCCATAGTTTCAAGCAGCTGAAAGCTAACCAATGATGTGTGTGCTGGGAACCAAACATGGAAGAGCAGCAAGTGCTCTTAATTGATGAGCAATCTACCCAGCCTCATCATATGGCTTTCTTTTTAGACTTGCCAGAAAAATACCTTTCCATAGAATACCCATTTTCCTTTATGCATAATTAAGAACAACTTATGAGATCTCAACATGGAGATCTACAGGCAACACAATTGCCCAAAATTCTATGCCTTCTCTCACAGAAGAATCACAAAAATGATCCTGTCCACATTACCCTGTGTTTATTATAATTGCATTAATAAGGAAATTGAGATTAGGATTGTGCTGGTTAGTTTTTATCAATCCGTTACAAGCTAGGCCCATATGGGAAGAGGAAACCTCAATGAAGAAATGTTTCTGGCCTTTATCCCAGCCACTTGAGAGGCAGAGGCAAGTAGATCTCTGAGTTCAAGGCCACTCAGATCTACAAAGAGAGTCCAGACAGCCAGAGCTTGTTATACAGAGAAACCATATGTTGAAAAAAAAAAAAGAAAAAAAGAGAGAGGAGAAAGAAAGGGAAAGAGGAGGGAGGGGAAGGGAGGGGAAGGAAGGGAAGGAAAAATGCTTCTGTTAGATTGGGAGGAGTAGTTAGAAAACTGTGGATGATGCCATCCTAGGCAGGTGGCCCTGGGTTCCATAAGAAACTACTCTGGGTCTCCAATTTCATCACTTCCTTCCAGGTGACGACAGAGAGTTGTTATAAATGGTTTCTTATTCTATTTTAAAATATAGTGTGCACGTGTCATGGTGTGAATGTGTGATGGTGTGCATGTGTCATGTGTGCATGTGTCATTATTCTCATGTATCATGGTATGCATGTACCATGTTGCATCTTTGTAATGGTGTAAATGTGTCATTGTGTTTATGTCTCATACTGTGCAGGTGCCATGGTTAGCACGTGCCATGGTGTGCATGTGTCATGTATGCATGTCTAATGCTCTGTATATGCAATGGTGTGCATGTGTCATTTTGTGTGTGTGTGTGTGTGTGTGTGTGTGATGCTGTGCATGTGTCATGGTGTGCATGTGTCATTGTGTGTATATGCTATGGTGTTTATATATCATAATGTGCATATGTCATTGTGTACATGTATGATGGTGTGCATATGTCATGGTGTGCATGTGTCATGGTGTACATGTGTCATGGTGTATATGTGTCATGGTGTTCATGTATCACGGAGAAGGATGACTTTCTGGAGTGATTCTCTCTTCTATTTTGGATTCTGAGGATCAAATTTAGGTTGTCAGGTTTGCATGACAAGAACATTCACCCATAAGCCATGCCATGACCTAGATGACTGATTTCAGATGATGAATCTCTTATTAAATGAAGTCTAAGCTTTATCTGTACTCATTTTGGAACAGTGTGTGTGTGTGTGTGTGTGTGTGTGTGTGTGTGTGTGTTAAGAATTTGGAAATTCTAGAGAGTCTAGGATGAAGCCTAACCATAAAACACAAAAATCTGCACATACTCTAAATAACTATTTATATTATCTCCTTCCAACAAATCCCCAATTCAGTGTCTTCTCTCTTTGCAAGCTAGTACTGTAAGACATTGTATATATTTAGTCTTTTTACACACATACATATGTATGCCATATTACCCACTTTTCAATATTTTACTTACATAAAGACTCTTATGCAAAAAAAAAAAAAACAAGAAAAATATATGGCCCGGCTAGAGACATGTCTCAGTGATTCAGAGCATGTGCTATTCTTGAAGAAAGCCTGGATTCACTTGGCAGCACCCACATGGTTGCTCACATTCTCCTGTAACTCCAGTTCTAGGGATCAGGCATCCTCTTCTGGCCTCCCAGGCACTGGGTTCAATTAGTACACACACACACACACACAGAAAGAGAGGGGGGGTAAACACACAAATAAAAAAAATCTCTTAAAGTACATATGGAGAGATATCTATTAGTAAATGTTCTTGCTCCATTTAGCTCTGCCTCAAGCTTGAGAACTGTTTCTCCCTCCTTTGTAAACAGCTTTTGGAGTTCTTTTGTTAAGGAGTTTTGGAGACCATACTCACACAATCACCTGTTTTAGATCACACACAGTGGAGACACACTTTTTTACTTTAAGGCTTACCACAGTTATACAAACCAAAACATCCTCCCCCATGACTAAAGACACATCTCTGGTTTTGTTACTTACCTGCGATGACGTATGTTATCACAGTAAATACAGTACTTGGCAATAGCCTCCTGGGTATTAGCTCAGCCAGCAATTTCCCAAAGAAATAGGATGACACTCTGTAGTATCCACTGGTATGCTCATGTCTGCAGAAACAAAAGTCCTTGTTATACATCCTTAGGTTAGTCCACAGGTGAGATGCTGGCTATCCTGACTTCTCATACCACACGGAGCCTATGAGGACAGTGTCCTGGTACTCTAAGTTGACTCCAGTACACCCCCTCATCTTAGAACCAGCATCCCTAGGCCACCATCTTTATGGCATTTTCACTGAGACTCCCATCAGAGAAATCCCCTGTTTTGTTCACTAGACCACAGAACAGCCTCTGCAGGGAAACAGTCCAAAGTCCCCACTCTCCACAGAGACGCTGCTCCTCTGAGGCTGGCTCCCTGAGGTACCTCAACTCTCAGTATCTCACTTCAGGCAGCAGTGATGGAGACTGTCTTACCCCCTTCATATGAAGAAGGTAACACTGGCCCTGTGAGGTCATGCTGCAGCCACTACCTGCTTCTCTTCTGGATCGCTCACTTTAGGAAATACTTCTTCCTTCAATAATCTCACTTTACAACTATGAATCCTCACCAGCTACTACACCTAGTCCTTCCCCTTCCTGGCCCCTGTCCCTAAGCCATTCCAAAATCCAAGATCTTATCCTGCCAGTGTCTTCATTGCATCTCTGATTTGATTTTTTGAGAAAGGATCACTAGTGAAGGCTGGCCTCAAACTCCATATGTAGCTAAAATGACCATCCTCCTGCCCCACCCCCAAGTGCTGGCATTACAGGAATATCTCCCTGCTGAAGTTTATGTGGTCCTGTGAATCTACTCCAGGGTTTCATGCTTGCTAAGCAAACACTCTATCAACCGAGCTATGCCCTCAGCAATTTTCTGATGATTTTTTTCCTTGGCACACACTTGTAGGCAAATCTTGCCCATCTTTGAAACCATGAAACCTAAGCATAGGTCACCAGGGAAGTCTTCTTCCACATTTGAAAAGCACATGAGATCAGCTAGCTCTCTCTGGCTCTTTCCAGCCCTTCATCCAAAGGAGGCTACACATCCTCACTCTTGTGCAGCTTTACTTCTCCAGCTCCAATCCGCTACTAAACCCACTACACTCAAGCTCTAGCAAAGCCCTGACATCATTTCAGGGGTTCATGGATGAACTTTCATCCCCCTACTGCTACTTTGTCTACAGCAGTGAGACCTGGTGACCACACTCCAACTTTGAAACTTCCACTGAGCTGCAGACACCTTTGCTCTTGCATTCCCACACATTTCTTCAGTTAGTATTAGTAATTTCTATACATACTTCAAAATATATGGTACCATATGATAAACACAAAATTTCATAATTTGTTAATTTTTCAACTAAAACAAACAAAGAAAAATACTGGTAACTCATGAGATAAAGCTCTAGGTCCAACTATGAGTGTAATGGTTTTGATCACCAGCAGCGGATGCCTGGTGCAGCAGGGACTACTCACAGAAAGCGAGCCCTGTCGATCACAAAGAGCTCTCCTGCAGATACACTTGTGATACACTGGAAGACCGTGAGCAGGTAAAGCAGGCTGGCTCTGTCAGAAGAGAATGGAAGCAAATTCAACATTAGCATGGTTTCCCCCCAACACAGCTTGCTCTGTAGTTTAAATGACATTGCACAGACCTTGCTTTTGATGATGATGATGATGATGATGATAGATAGATAGATAGATAGATAGATTGATTGATAGATAGATGATAGATAGATAGATAGATGATAGATAGATAGATAGATAGATGATAGATAGACAGATTGATAGATGATAGATAGATGATAGATAGATAGATAGATAGATAGATAGATAGATAGATAGACAGACAGATTGATAGATGATAGATAGGTAAATAGATAGATAGCAGGTCTGGAGAGATGACTCCACAGTAAAGAGTCCTTGCAAAAGACCCAGGCTTGGTTGTCAGCACCCCACATGGTACATCATAACCATGTCATTAGAGTGGCAGGGGATCCTGTGCAAGCTAGTTTTATGTCAGTTTGACACAAGCTAGAATTATCCTAGAGGAGAGAACTCCAACTGAGAAAATGCTTCCAAAAGATCAAGTTGTAGACAAGCCTGTAGAGCATTTTCCTAAGTAGCGATTGATATTGGAGAACCCAGTCTATTGTGGTTGGTGCCATTCCTGGGCTGTGGTCCTAGGTTCTATAGGGAAGCAGGCTGAGCAATCCCTGGAGAACAAACCAGGAAACAGCACCTTCCATAATCTCTGCATCAGCTCCTGCTTCATATCCCTGCCCTGTATGGGAAAGTATCTTGACTTACTTCAATGATGAACTACAATGTGGAAATAAAAGGCAATCAAACCCTTTTCTCTCCAACTTGGCTTTAGGTCATGGTGTTTCAATGCAGTAATAGTGACCTTAGCTAAGACAGGAGCTGATGCCTTCATGTTATCATCATGGGCACCAAGGCACACGCATGATACACAGAGATATACGTATGAAAACATTCATACATGTAAAAAATTAAATAAATATTTTTTGAAAGAAAGGAAAAATGTAAAACTGTTCTGATTTTAAAAAAAGAATCCTCAGAAGGTGTGAGTCCCATGAGGCATTCACCCTCTCTGTCTCCACAGCAGTATCCATGGATTGATGTGTGTCCTCTAAAACTTCAACGATTTGAAAATGGTCCCTAATACAATGACCTTTTAGTGTGTCTTTTGGGAGTTAATTAGCTTTAGATGAACCGATGAGAGTGGAGTCCCACAGTGTGTTGTGTGTCCTCATTAGAGGAAGACTCAGCAATGTAGCCTCTGCCATGAGACGGCCCTGAGAGAAGGTGCCCAGACACCTATGACAGAACTCTCCCCTTAGACTTTCACACTGCAGTGTGTGGAGACACATTTGGTTTTAAATCCACTGAGCCTGTGGTATTTAATCGTGGCAACCCAACCACCCATCACTTCAGTTTAACTAACAAAACTGGTAAGTATCATTCCTAATATAGAGATAAAGAAAGCTAAAAAAAAAACTCCAAGGGGTTTTCACATCCAGTTAGCCACTTTGCTTTCATAGATGAGTAAGAATGAAAACATGAACTAGTGTAGGGAATCCCCAGCCAAGAGCTTACCACAGGCATCACCCACAGAGTCATCCTTAATGATGATTATCCCTAAAATAGAACATCTTCTTGCATGTTTTCTAAGAGTGTAAACAGATACATTCAGTTGTGATTATTTATGAAGAAATCATTTGTGTCCATGTGAAAAGGGACAGTAAGCAGGAAGAAGGGGCTAAAAGCCCCTGCAGTCATGTATTTCCTGGATGTGTGTGTTAGCTTTGTCTAAGACAAAAGTCATAATTTGGATCCTAACACCCTGGCACATACGCCAGTCAGGAGTCAGTGACTCTTTTTATGTAGGTACATAGTGGATGGATATCCAGATGAAATAAGGGACCTTACTGGAGACAAGTTTCCTCCTATGTAAAGAATTTCATTCTTTTTACCATCTACCAAATTAAAGTAACATGTTGAAAAACAAAGAACAGGATTGAGACTCTGAGAAGAGCAAGAATACTGGCCTCCAGGTCTCCTAGAATTTGAGAGACAGAGGCAGGGAGATTATGGAAGACTGAGGCTAGCCTAGGCTACAGGACAATGCTGGGCCTGTCAGGTTACAACTTTGGCCATGCCTCACAGGATCACATAAGAGCAGTGAAACTGGGTACCTCGTGACAGAACAGAGAGCAGCAGACCTGGGCTCTTCCTCCTCTCCTGAGGAGCAAATCATGTATTTCAAGGCTCATCTGTTTTACCTCTACTCTACTAAATGCACACCTTTCTCTCTTCACTCTTCCCTTCCCACACACATCTGATCTCAGGAGGCAGGTATCCTCCCTCCCTCTCCCTCTCCTTCTCCCTCCCTCTCCCTCTGCCTCTCCCTCCCTCTCTCCCTCTCCCCCAATAAATTGTCCTCTAGTTCCCATCTGTGTTTTCATTTTCATTGATAAAACCAAGAACTCAGAAAAGGAACCTGTGACCCTGGCTACGGTTCACCATATGCCACATCTACTTACTAATCTGATTTTTAAAATATTTTAGTTATAGATTAACAAATTATAGTTAAACGTATAAGGTAGAAAAGAAATATATAACTCATGAAAAGTTTTGTGAATAATTTGCTCAAACTAAACGAAGTGATTCTCCTCTCTGCATCCGTCTTATGGTGCCTCATTTGAAATATGTGCTCAGAAACTTGGAAGTGTGTATTGTATTTGCTGATTTGAATGTGCCACACAAGTTATTTCAGTAGAAGAGAATGTTACTTCCCCAGTTTAATAAATTTTATACTCTTAGCCCACATGTGTCTTCAATGCACACCATCTCCAGCAGTTGCTATCGTCAGCCATGCTGCCGGGAAAGGAATCGTGGTACGATCCATGAGTAAGTGAAACGTGTGTGTCTCTCTGTCTTCAGAGTCTTTTACTTTGCACAATATTCTTTTTTTCCTTTAGAATTATTTTATTAAATCATATATGTATAACAGCTTCTTAATTCTACACACACACCTTTTTTTTCATGATCTTCTTTAAATCTTCAATTCTATCCTTTATTGTTGAAATTCCCATTTTCAAGATAAGCACATTACAATTCTCAGTTTCTTTGCCAGCTATCTGTTGGCAGACAATTAGCTTCTTTAACTCGGTTACTGTGTCCAATGCTCCAGTGAGCATCAGACTACAGATGCATTTGGGGAAGTTATTTCAGATATGTTTGTTAGTATGCTGCGATGGTTTGTATATGCTTGAGACAGGGAGTGGCAGTTTGGCTCTGTTGGAGTAGGTGTGTCACTGTGGGCATGGGCTTTAATATCCTAGTCCTAGCTGCCTGGAAGGGAGTATTCTGCTAGCAGCCTTCAGATGAAGATGTAGAACTCTCAGCTCCTCCTGAACCACACCTGCCTAGATGCTGTTATGTTCTTGCCTTGATGATAATGGATTGAACCTCTGAACCTGTAAGCCAGCCCCAATTAAATGTTGTCCTTATAAGAGATGACTTGTTCACGGTGTCTATTCACAGCAGTAAAATCCTAACTAAGACATATGCACAGGATAAATTTCTGAGTTTAATTATTTCTTTTAATGCCAATTCCTTCCTATTCTGTTGCTATCTCAACCCTATAAGGCTACTGAGTCAAAAGAGCTCATATGCCACAAAATTCAAATCCAGTTCCCAGTCACACTGCTTGGACAAAGTGCAAAGGCAATGCTGGATCCAAACATGACAAGTAACTTCTGGCCTTCTGAACATTATTGATGGTTTAAATGTTAATATTGACCCTGAAAATAATTTAATAGATGATATTGAGGAAGTGTTTCTATCTGTCCTGTTTAGGTTTCTGTTGCTGTGGTAAACACTATAACCAAAAAAACCTTGGGAGAATGGGGTTTATTTGCCTTATATATCCCAAGTAATGCTCCATCCCTGAGGGAAGTCAGAGCAGAAATTCAAGGCAGGAACTCGGGGACAGGAATGGAAGCTGAGGCCATGGAGGAATGCTCCTACTGCCTTGCTCCTCATGACTTGCCCAGCCTGCTTTCTCATACAACTCAGAACCACCTGCTCAGGGCTTGCACTGCTCCTAGTGGGCTAGCCTCGGCCACATCAATCATTCATCAAGACAACACATCACAGACTTGCCTACAGCCAATCTAACAGAGTCATTTTCTCAATTGTAGTTCATTTCCTCTACATGACCCTCGCTTGTGCCAAGTAGACAACTGACAAGCCCACCAACAAAAAGAAACAAGCACTACTCAGGAAGCATGAAATAAACTATACACAAAGGCCATTTCACACAGTTCAACTTCTTCTAAAACACTGTAGGAGAGGAAGTGAAAAATACAAAGAGTATTTCACAATTTCTAAAAGCCAATGTAGAAACAGCTAATAAAGCGCTCCTTTATGTTTGCATTTTCCAAGAACATTTCTTCTTCAGAGTTTTCATGGTTCATGTCTGAATGATTCCTGTGACAGTGACTACACCTTCTTTCTTGTGACCTAAGCTGTGCTGGATTGAGGTGTGCCCTCTACATGCACACAAGACAAGTCCTAGCAGGATTGGAAAATGTTCAGACTTCATTGAAGATGCCTGGAAACAGCTGTAACAATTGTCTCTGTGCAGACTGATGGCCAATCCACATAGGAGGAAACTCACTGAAGAGCTGGTTTTATTCTTCTTTCTTTCAAAACTAACTGTTTTTTCCACACATCAAATAGATTTTTGGGGCTGGACAGGTGGCCTGTTCAGCAAAGTATCAGCCATGCAACCATGAGAACTTGAGTTCAGAGCCAGAACCAATGTGAAAGCCAGGCACACACTTCATACCTGTACTACACAGATGAAGGATACAGAGGTGGATCTTAGAGTTCATTGGTCAGCCAGCCAGCCAATCACTGAGCTCTAGGTTGAGTGAGAAACCTGTCTTGAAAGAGACAGTGGAGAATCATCAAGGAAAACCTAGCCTCAGCCTCCATCTTCAACATGGAGACACATGCATGTTGACCCACATGTACATGTATACACACCTACATAAACATGGAAGAAGCCCATACAAGAGTGCATATAAAATATAAAACACTGCATACTTACACCCAAATACACACTCATGAACACTAACACACACACAGTCTTTCTCACATATTTATACATATTCACATACACACACTCTCACAAACATTCTCACACATGCATAAGCAGTCACACACTGACACACATCTCACATACACATGCTCACACACACTTTCCATCATACACACACATGCACACACACACAGAGAGAGAGAGAGAGAGAGAGAGAGAGAGAGAGAGAGAGAGACAGAGACAGAGACAGAGACACTGACACAGACACAGACACAGACACAGACACAGACACAGACACAGACACAGACACAGACACAGACACAGACACAGACACAGACACAGACAGACAGAGACAGAGAGACAGAGAGAGAGAAGCTTCCTAAAGTTTCTTTAGTTGTCAAACCTCTCTGGCCAGTGTGAGGTGCCCTGTCTGTGGACGTATAGCAGGGAGCACAGTTTTGAACAAAACATTTGCCATACATAAATTTCAGTGAGAATTCTGACAGTGGTGATGCTGCTGAGAAATTATGTTTGGAACGTGTTATAGTTTAACATGAACAGATATCTCTTAAAGATTATAACTCAAACTAGACAATGGCCACAAAAGTGACATCTATATGAGGAGTCAGAATAAATGAATCGCATCCTGCTACCCAATACTCACATTCAAACAAACCAAATATATTCAAGAAAATTGGCCCAGAAACAACAAACGCAGAATAAATTGGTAAGCTAAAACCATTCATATCAACTGAATAAAACGGCAACACAGAGAAGAACAGAAATGCATGTGCATCATGCATCTGGTGAGGAGTTCATTTGTGAGAAACAAAAATAACTATAACTCAATAGCAAGGAAGAATTCAAGGCCAGTGAGATGGTTTGACAGGTAAGATGATGACTGCCGGGCTTGGTGACCTGCAAGCAATCCCTGAAACTCTCGCCCTCCCATGTGGTGGAGGGGTCAGCTCTTGTAAATTGTCCTCTGTCGTCCACATGCATGCTATAGGACATACATACCCACCACATACACACACTAAGTAAATAAATACATAATTTTGGAATGAAAAGAAAATATTCCAATTTAAAAGGGGAAAACAGGTTTTACAAAGAATTCATAAAGCATCTGATGAGTACTAGTCTATTTTCTTCTAAGGTATCTTGTTCAAAGCAAGAACAAATATGTTTGGGGGAGAATATGGACATTCTTGAGCCCTTGTGTTCTGCTGGTAAGAATATTAAATAGTACAGTGGAGTTGCAGGCAGGAAAGCAGTACCTCAAATAACAGAATGACCTTACGATATGTCAACTCTAGCCCTCTAACTTAAGGACAAAATTCCAGGACTCAAACACATGTATTTACACCCTCAGCAGCATCAGTTATAGTAGCCAAAGGTGAGAGAAAACTGCGTTTCCAGGCTGAGATGAACGAGAAGCAACAGCATGTGCACACAATGGACAATTATTGTGCCTTATAGAGCCCAAGAAATCCCCACACGTGCTTTTTTGATGAGCCCTGAAGACATTATACTAATGGAATCAAGTCAGCCAGAACAAACGAGAACCTAATCAAACCAAGAACAAACCACAAACACTTTACAACTTCAATTCAGGGTCCAACATTAGTCGTATTTGAAGGCAGAGAATAGAGTGGTGGTTGGCAGGAATTGAGAGTGTTCAGCATGGAGTGGGGGAGTCTTCTCTCAGAGCTATGGGACTCCATGTAGGAAGTTGAAACATTGTCCTTACATTTAGATTGTGGTTAAAGGCACATACACCAAAACCCGTTAAAACCATTTCCTCCTTCTGGGTTACCTTATCTAGCCTTGATATGGGGATATGTACCTAGTCTTCTTGAAGCTTTTTATTCCATGTTTGGTTGGTGTCACTAGGAGGGCTGCTCTTTTCTTAGGAGAAGAGATGGGGTTGCATCTGGGAGAGAGGGGAGGGAGGGAAGAAACTGGGGGAGGGGAGGAGAAATATGGTAAGGATGTAACATATAAGATGAGAATATAAAAATGTGAACTGTGTAGTATGTATAGTACCATACCATCTGCACATAAACACATGAAAAGTGAGCTCTTCCACTCAGCTTTCAATGGACCACACACTCGACCACATAATAAATGCTTTCTCGTCATGAATTCCAAGCCTGAATGGAATTTTGTAAGCCTGAACAAAATGACAGCACTGTCTCAAAATCAGGACCCAAGTTTGCTTACCTCATCTGGACTTCAATACAATCATTTTTTAGGACACGGAAAGTGGTGCCTACAGCTGCAGCCAGTATGACTGTGATAACGGCCTATCGAACAGAAAATTTAAAAAAAAAAAGGAAAATTTCCATTAGGAGTAAAAAGTGCTCAACACATTGTCCATTATTTTAAGATATGTGGTTTCCTAATCATATCTCCACAATGAGATGAACATCACATTTTGACCAGAATCCTGGGAGAAAATAAAACACACATGTTTATAGCCTACTAGTATGTTAAATTAAAAATTGAGGGCCCTGCAATCTGAGGCCCTAACAGTACAGACCCTGGAAAAGCTAAGATTTCTCCCTGTACCCCAGGAGGAATGGCCAGTGAAGGTCCAATAATAAAATTAAAATCCACCCACAATGCAGTTCCTAACTGTGGATGTGTGTGCTGAGAGGGGGTGACTCATGGGCATGACTCATACAACTGACAGTGTAATTCAAATGATAACACACATACACACAGAGAAGGCAGCAACCCTGAAACATGAAAATGGCTGTACACATGTTAAGAACTAGGCAGGGTTTCATCGTAGCCAACAACTGGGCATCTTTCTGTATTCAACAGAAGCTACGTGTCTGATTGTGGCAGGATATTTTCCTGCCCATTGTATTTGCAGTGGAGCTCTGTGATTGAGCAGTACAAGAGGTAGGCAGAGTGAGGAGTTGGGAGGAGAAAAGAGGAAGAAAAGAGGAGGGGAAGGAGGAAGAGAAGCAAGACAGAGGAAGACATTCGGATCTCTGGCAGTCTCGAGTAATTAAACATATCAAAAGGTTAGCTATTGGGTAACAATTCTAATTGTGTGGGCATCTTGTGTATTCTGCATTTGCTAATATATACATTCATTGGATAATCTTTAAGAATTAAGAGTCTCATTTCTACTAGGTACAGGAATTGTTATATCTACTGCATGGGGGTGGCAGAGTTAGCCCATGAGCCAAAATTAGAGCCATGGAGTCCATGAAGCTGACTGGTGGAGGAACCAGCCACGCCATCTCGTGGAGCCAGGTCGGCATCCTGGCTAGCATGGCCGGTCACTAGTGTGGAAACTTAGAGCGGGAACACAGTTATGGTCCAGAGCTAGCCGCTCGGTGCCGCACCAATTTTTCAAATATCTACCATTACATCTGATAATAAAGTAACAACCCACAATATAACCAGGTAAGCTGACTATAACGACTGCACAGGAGAGGGGATGGAAAGCCACAGCGGAGCACTTGCCCTCTAATAGCTAAGCCCCTGAGACCAATAGATAACGCAGCAGAATCATCAACATCATCACCAAATAAAAACATCTATGAATATGTTTTGACCCAAGTAAGCTGGGACAACTACATTTCTGTGACATTCATGTTAAAATAACAGAAAATTTAAGGTAGGATGACCATTCTTACAGAAGGATGACCATTGTTACAGAGACAGTTTAAAGAAAAGCAGAGAGTGACCTCTACTCAGTTCCCAGTTAGCTGACAGGGAGGAGCCGGGTTAAGTCTGGTTGCACTGTGTATGAACTGTTCTCTTTGAATAGCTCCTGCTTTCATACACCAGCCCCTAAGTAGGGAAACAGTACTCCACAACAGGAATCATCACTCAGGCAGTAGATGCACAGGCTCCCATCAGAGATGTTCAATGGCACTGTTTCCTCACAGCCTGATTTCAGCTACAGATCATCCCTTCTTCCCCTCCCTTTCTCCAGCCATCTCTAACCCTTCCCCACTTATAGACTTCTCCAAAGTCTGTTCTGTCTCCTGACATGCTACAAATTTTATCTATTCGTGCAGGTACCATCCATCTACCCACATGGAATTTGCATCAGGAAAATTCCGTTGTGTTCACTTTATTCATGCCTGTACTTGAACTTGAGGATGTGCAGGTGAATTAAAGAACACAGCTGAGAGGAACTCCAAGTGTGCCTCTCATTACTTTATGGAACTGTTGAATTAAGTTTCCTACATGTATTAGTCATTACAGTCCCTCTAAGTAAAAAACAACCACTAAAAAGGTTTTCTGTAAGTATGAAGTTAATCATGTTCTACTTGTTGCAGTGAAAAATTCTGCACGGCAAATACAGAGAGAACACAAATGTACGGACAGCAGCAGAAGCAAGTGTGACCCAGAAGTCACTGACACAGACACATTGTTCCCACTTGAGTTTTTCACAGGATGTTTAAGATAATTCATCAGATTACCTGAATCACAGTGACCCATGGAAAACCCTTGAAATTTTTGAATGATCGACAGATAATCCACCCAAGCTGATGCCACAAAGAGGTGACACATGTGGTCTCCATGGCTGAGACCCTCTCCAGCTTCTGTTCCCCCAAGAGTTGATCCAGCTTGGTTCTTGTTCCCGTGTACCAGCAGGACTTGGCATACTTATCGGCCAATTCTCTTGTGACGTCACATTGTGTCTTTAAAAGCTCTTCATATTTGTCAGCTTTGTGATGAAAGTGGATAAAGAAAAGAAACAGCAGAAAATAATTTAACTGATTTTTCTGTTGAATTGCATGTTGAATTCCTGAATGTATCATATGTTTTCACATGTGTTATGTATTGATTTTTCTTTGAGACAGTCTTATGTAACCTAGACTTTCCTCAAAGTTGCTATGTAGCCAAGGGTGACCTCAAACTTCTCCTGGTCCACCTGATTCCGTGTCTCAAGTACTGTGACTACTGGCATCCACCTTGACACCCAGTTATGCAGGGCTAGGAACCAAAGTTAAGGCTTTGTGCTTGCTAGGCAAGCATTCTCCTGGGTAATTTATATCTTCAGCCCACAAAAATTTGAGAATAAAACAATTGCTACCTGTTTAATTCTTTTACATATTAGACAAGTATCCGTAACTGTGATGGCTATTCCTCGTTTTCAACTTGACTACATCCAGAACAAACTACAATTCAGAAATGGAGGGCACACCTCTGATCCAGATCTTGAGGCTGGAAGACCCAGATTTCTGACCTAGATCTTGATATGGAGATCTTGAGGCATAGTGGCCTTAAAACGTTCAGGGCCAGGCAAGGTAGTACAAGCCTTTAATCCCAGGAGACTAAGGCAAGGAGATCTCTGAGTTCAAGGTCAACCTGTGACAAAGCAAGTTTTAGACCCAGGAGTGGTGGTACACATCTTAATCTGGGCCACGCCTCCTGCTGGAGACCTACATAAGGACACTGGAAGAAAGAAGATTCGCTCTTCTTTAACCGCTTGCACTTACGTTCCAGCACATCTGTAGGAACCTACTTCTACAGAAGATCTGAAACAACTAGCCTCATGGGATTGAGCAACTACTAGATTCTTCGACTTCCCATTCACAGCTGCCCATTGTTGGGGTAGTTGGACTACAGACTATAAGTCATTATAATAAAATTTCCTTAATATATAGAAACATTCCGGAAGTCCTGTGACTCTAGAAAACCCTGACTAATGCACTAACTGATCTGAGTATTGTTATTATCCCATAGATTCAGCAGACTGGATAGCCTTTTCCCTTCTGGACCCTAATTCTTAACAAAGGTTTCTCTCTCATACGGTTCTACATTTCTTAATATAAAGGTCTGATCCCTGCTTCCTACTACATGCAAATACACATTTAAATGTATAAAATGCCAAATTTCTTTAAGTTATAGTGTGTCACAGTTTGTCACACGGAATACCCTTTTGCAAATGTTTATTGAAATGAGACATTGGTCTGTTTTGAAACCTCTGGCTTCTGCTGCACTATCAATACTGGATTTTTATGAAGACTTCTCTCAGATATCCTGTTGTAGCCCTGTGTCATGGAGGTCCTGTATCTTTGGATGTATAGGACCAGTCCTTTCACAAGCTCCAGCAGATCAAAGATGGAGTAGATGATGGGGTGGGCTAACTCAAAGCCCTGGGTTTGGGCCTCGGTGGTACCTGAGCTGCTCAGCCCCCAGCTCTCCAGTATCTTCATCACCAGGGTGACCTCTCTAGCACTGCCCCAGCTAGCTCCCCCAGGGCTGCAATCAGCAAGGGGCAGGGCCAGTTCTCCGGCTCTTATGCCCAGCAGCTCAACAGCCCTCACGCCACCGGAGTCAGCTCTATTGTGGTGCCCAGGTGAGGTACAGGGCCCACGCTGTAGAGTGCTGCAGCCTGAGGGGGAAGGCCAGCTCTCCCGCTCTCACACCCTCAGGGCAGGCTCACCTGTGCTTTCTTACCTGATCTACTGCACTGCCCAGGTAAGGGGCAGAGCACTCTTTCCATGCTCTTGCCCTAGGGTGTCACCAGGGCCAGTTCACAGGGTCAGGCCCTTCTCCACTGATCACTGATTACAAAGATACTCTACAGACTTGTCTACAGCCCAATCTTATGGGAGTATTTTCTTAACAGAGGTTTCTTCCTCTTAGGTGACTTTCTGTGACTAGTTGGCATAGCCCTGCAATGCCTGTACTTGGGAGGTAAGGTAGAAAGAGAACAGATGCAAGGCCAGCCTGGCTACCTAAGCAAGCCTTATCTAAAACAGTACAAGAATAATATGCTGATCAATGATCATTTACTTTCTAACAGAAATTTCCGTCACTACTGACAATATCATCTAAATGTTCTTTCATGAATCAAAGCAAAATCACCCAGCACTGAACAGAAGCAAAGTCTATCAGCTAATATTAGGACACTTAATTAATATAAAAGTTATGTTCTAATGAACCATTGTGGTGTTTAAATGAAGTCACTTAGGCAAAAATGTCTGACTCTAGAAGACTCACATACCGTCATGGCCGGCTTCGTTTGTTTTTAATATATTAGAGAAACCTCCATTAATGACGTCCAGGAAGAAGTCTGCAGGGTTGTTGTGGGACTCACACTCGTAACCTACAAAGAGTACAGCCCAAGAACACAAACCTGAGGACACTCTGTCAGAGAGTGGGGGAGGGGAGGAAAGACAGTCTAACTTTTTCCTCTTCTTGCGATTTTCCTCCACTAATTTATTTTTTTTACATATACGTGTGCATGTGCATGTGCGTGGTGTACTCATACAACATTTCAGCAATCTCGCTTTCCTATCTAATGTATAGAGAGTATGCATGTTTATCTGTATGATATACATATACATGCAAACTCTTCCTGTGAGACAAACATTTGAACTCAGCCTAAATTTTTACTGGGCTCCATAGACTCGCCAAGTTTATACATTTCAAATGACAATGAGGGGGTGGTGGCACACGCCTTTAATCACTTAAATGACGATGATTAATTAATAACAAAAAAGCAGTGCTAGGAAGTAAATAGTTAAGCCTATACTTGGACTCGGAGAATCCCTCATAATTGTATTCATACTTCTAAATGATAAGGCTGACTGCATGAACCTTTGAAAACGTCTCACCATACACTCTGAAAAACACAAGCAGACCAAAAATATGACGTCAGACTTAAGTCTCTATAACCCCTAAGCAAGGACTGAACCCAAAATACAAACATCCCCATAAGCCCCATAAGTAAGTACATCTCTGCAGCACCTCAGAGTCAAATCACACACTAAGGGAGAACTGAAGACCATCGTCAGCTACATGAGCGAGAGCACTGTGATACAAGGCCTTTCTCGAGCTATTCAAATGATGGATAATGGGCCCTGAGGCCAAAAAAGAGACATGAACAACAAACCGTATCGGGGTTTTTTTTTTTGGTTTCTTTTTTTTTTTGGTTTTTCGAGACAGGGTTTCTCTGTGTAGCCCTGGCTGTCCTGGAACTCACTCTGTAGACCAGGCTGGCCTCAAATTCAGAAATCCGCCTGGCTCTGCCTCCCAAGTGCTGGGATTAAAGGCGTGAGCCACCACCGCCCCGCTAACAAACCGTATTGTTAAACTAACAAAAATCCTGCCCCAAAATTAACCAACAGTATTTAAAGCGGAGAAACCTACACATATTAAGTCTGCACGAGAGTCTAACAGCATCCCTGATATCCCGTTTCTCTTTGGAGGTCTTGTGAATGAAGAAGCTCTCATAACAATAGGCAACCATACCTGCAGATCTGAAGTACTCCAAAGCATCCTCTGCAGGTCCATGAAACATGAGTTTTCCTGAAGCCACTAAGGTGAGGCTATTGAAAACCCTGAAGATGGAGTACTGAGCCTGACTGATGGAGAAGATGATTGTCCGTCCCATCCTCGAGATCCTAAGTTCAGCGAGGGAGACATGCTAAGTCGCCAGACACTGGAACCTTGAATTCTCCACACAATATTACACTCCTGAAGGTATACTCTTTGTTCCCATTTCAGGTTGAATTGTCCTTATAAACACCTCATCTCACTTGTGTTATGCATCTGAGTGACAAACCATGCTCTATGCTTCTATTTAAAAATCTACAACTTCTTAACGTGTGGAATATCAGGTGTTCATGGTCCATCAGAGTTTCATTGACACTGCTGATCTCCAGGCAGTGTAGACATCCAATTCATCTGAGACAATGAATTGGATCAGTGTGATGGTTTGTATATGCTCAGCCCAGGGAATGGCACTATTAGAAGGTGTGGCCCTGTTAGAGTAGGTGTGGCCTTGTTGGAGCACGTGTGTTGCTGTAGGTGTGGGCATTAAGACCTCATCCTAGCTGCCTGGAAGTCTTTATTCTGCCAGCAGCCTTCAGATGAAGATGTAGAACTCTCAGCTCCTCCTGAGGTACCATGCCTGCCTGGATGCTGCCATGCGCCTGCTTTGATGATAATGGACTGAACCTCTCATAAATGACAGATCAGGGCATAGACACAGAGAGAAGGAAGATACACAATCCACAGCTCAGTGAGACATGTTCAGCAGATACAGCCTGTGGATACCTTCATTTCTGGCTTCCGGTATCCAGACTGTAAGAAATTTAACTTCTGTCAACTCATTTAGTCTGGGGTGTCCCTAACAGTGCACTGGCAAGCAACCTTCCTTCCCCTCAGCCCACTGGGTTCTAGTCTATCCTGTCTCTTGAATGTTCCAGACACGTCAAACATGCTTTGCCTCAGCTGTCACTGTGTTCAGATCTCTCCACTCAGCCCCAGCTCATTTGTCACGTGCTTGAGGGTTTAGGGACATGCTATTTAGAGCAGTGCTCCACCTTCTCCACAGCCACTCATCTGATGTTCTAGGCTATGTTCTTGATGCCTCTTCTTTGTTGGTTGAAGTTTCCCTCCAGTAAACAAGAGTTCTGTTGCCTACTTCTGAATCTCCTGCACCGAAAATGCACAGAAGCGACTGGGTATTAAGTTAATAAAACCTTAATGTCCCTTTAGCACATACCTTCTCAGGACTGAGATGATATCATTCACAGTTTTCAAGTCTAAGTCAGTGGTGGGATCGTCCAAGAACAATATGGGATGCTCAGTGACCAGTTCCATTGCTATACTGGTCCTTTTCCTGAGTTCTTTGGATCTAGGCTAAAACACCAATGACCGTTGTTATCAACAAGAACAGAGTCACTGCCATTTGGTGAACTGGCTTGTTCCAGCAATAAAAGATTGTGTTAAATCACTATTCCAAAGAGCGAAAATATAGGCACCTAGGAGAAGGTTTCTCTTCTAACAAGAGAGTAGAATGAGGCTCGGCTTAGACTGGATATGAAGCCATGTTAATAACAGTTATTGTTTTGTTCCTTATCAAGTCACATATTCTAGAGGATGAGTTATCACATGCAAAGACCTACAAAGTGATATCACTGTCAAAAGAAATGAAGAAGAGGGGAGAGGAGAAGATAAAATATCTCTAGTAATTTAGTAATCATTTAACAACACCACAACACACACATACATACATGCATACAAACATTGCTTTTAGCAAAAATTCCTAAGTAGAAAGTTCACATTGCCTTCTTAGGACATTTTCAACTTCCTTAAGACTCTGTGAATTGACATTATTTACTCTGAACAGCTTCTAAAAATTTATGCCCCACCCTTGTAGGCAAATCCAAAAGTTGGGACATCTTCAGGTCAAACTGGAACCCTCTTTTTCCCAGCCAGTGTCAATGTGTAAGGTGAGAGATCACAGGAAGGTTGAGGGGACACAGAAATAGGGAGCAATTCTGAAGCTTAAACTCTCTAATCATAATAAGCAAAACCATGATCGAGCCCTACTGATAACATACAACAAAGAATGTTGACGGATGTGGAAGAATGTGGACACGAAAAGGCTGAAGATACAAAGGAATCATTCATCTTGATAGTTTAGAATTTAGGGGTACACATATGTCCTTACTTTGATGAATGAAATGTAATTAAGTTCTCAGGAGTAAGATACTACCTAGTGCTCTTTTAAAATGCTCCAGGGGATAAATACCTTTAGCAAGTATGTGATAAAATACTACCGACTCCAAAGCCCAAAGGCTGGTATTAACAAGTATACTACTGTGCTGACTATATAACAACTGCACTGCTATGGTAACTACATGCTTCCTCTACACTTCTTATATTGAAGTCTCATGACAGCTGAAGAGGTTTAGCAGGGAAAAGCCAGGCAAGCCTGAAGCCTGAATTCAATCCCTGGAGCTCACATATAAAGGTACATGCAGTGGCATGCATCCATATCCCATCAGAATGTAATTACAGTGAGAAGAGAGAGCATCAGCCATGCAGGTAGAACATCAGCAGAAGACAGATTCTGCCTATCTACGAGGTGGAAATGAACCCCTGAAAACAGTGTCCTATGACCTTCCTGCGTGTGCAATGGCACTCAGTCAGAGACACACACACTTACATATACACACATACACACACACTCATATATATAACACTCACACACGCATCCACACATCCACACTTCCACACTCACACTCACATACGCATACAGGCTCACATACATACACTCACACAGCAACACATACATTTTTTCAAAGTTACCATTACAAAGTTATATTATTAAAATTCTTGAAATCTTTCATACTTCATGACCTTCAAGGAGTTAATAAATATCTTTATGTGTTGTCACTAAAAAAAAAAAAAAAAAAAAAAACCAAGTAAGCAACTTACTGCAATGACTACTTATTGTTTAAAATGCAGCAAAATAAAACACTTCATTGTAAATATAAAACCAAGTTATAAAAGGGCCCAAAGCAAACAAATTTCTACTACTCAGGAAGAGAGAAAAGGTGGTGAGTGTCAGCTTTTGTGATATTCTTCCCACCAAGCCAAGAATCTTATATAAGGCTGAAGAGAAGTATCCTGGAATCAACAGCCAGTGCCATCCTCTTCCTCCTTGTTCTAAGAAAGGTCCAGCGCAGGAGTTAAAACATGAGAATTACATTCTGTTAAGCTGTTTTCATCCATAGCACCAAATGTCCATTCACCAAACATTTATATATCATCTTCTCGATGAATCAATGTCATGGTGAGAGGCAGGACATTTGTGGGGACCCAAGAAAAGGGAAGCAACTGATACTTAAAAATAGAATAATATAATAGATATAATAAGAGCATATAATAAAGTTCCTGATCCGGTTCTATTAGCTATGAAATAATAAAGGACATTTGGGAACTGTGAAGGGTTATAGATCTGACAAGACTGAGGATGTGACGGTTTTGTTCATTTTGATAGTTAAGAATGAAATTGTTAACAATAGTTAACAATGAATTCGAGAAATTCCTAGGTAAATGGATGGAACTAGAAAATATCATCCTGAGTGAGGTAAGCCAATCACAAAAGAACACACATGGTTGTTCTTTTAATCACTCATTGATTATTGGATATTAGCCCAGAACCTTGAAATACCCAAGATTCAACTCACAGGCCACATGAAGCTCATTAAGAAGGAAGACCAAGTGGGGGTGATTCGGTCCTTCTTAGAAGGAGTAACAAAATACTCAAGGGAGCAAATATGGAGACAAAGTGTGGGACAGAAACTGAAGGAGGGGCCATCTGGAGACCATTCCACCTGGGTATCCATCCCATGTGCAATCACCAAAGGTAGATGCTGATGTGGAAGTCAGGAAGTGCATGCTGACAGGAGGAGCCTGATATAGATGTCTCCTCAGAGGTCTGCAAGAGTCTGACATATTCAGAGGCAGATGCTCACAGGTAACCATTGAACTGATAATGGGGTTCCCAATGGAGGATTTAGAGTGAAGACTGCTGGAGCTGAAAGGGTTTGCAGTCCCATGAGGAGAGCAACAATACCAACCAACCAGAGCATCCAGGGTCTAAACCACCAGCCTGGGAACACATAGGGAGGGACCCATGGCTTCAGCTGTATATGTAAGGGTGGAGGGCCCTGCTGGGCATAGGTGGGAGAAGAGATCCTTGGTCTCATGAAGGCTGGATGCTCCAGGGGGTGGGAATTTGAGGGTGGAGAGGTGGGAGTGGGAGGGTAGGTAGGGGTACATCCACAGAGAAGCAGGAGGAGGGGTGAGGGGATAGGGGGTTCCTGGGTGGGTGGTGGATGGGGTAAGGGGATAACATAGGAAATGTAAATAAAACATCCAATTAAAAAAAGTCAAAAAAAGAAAATAAAATTGTTACGGTAAGTAAATGTCCTATTTTAAAAGGATGAAGAATAATTCAGTATTCACAAATGAAGTGCTATGTAATATTCCTTTTAATATGTCAGTAAGAAACTGGTTGTTGGAGGCTGGAGAGATGGGTCAGAGGTTAAGAGCACTGACTGCTCTTCCAGAGGTCCTGAGTTCAATTTCCAGCAACCACATGGTGGCTCACAACCACCTGTAATGAGATCTGATGCCCTCTTCTGGTCTGAAGACAGCTACACTATGCACATATGCATTATATAAATATTTTTAAAAAGAAAGGAAAAGAAACATGTTGTCCATCACCATCAGCTGTGAAGCTCACCACCCATCTATTGCCCTTCCTGGCCCTGCATGAGCTTCCACAGGAGACTGCTGGTCCATTTGCTCTTGCTCTTGACCAAGGACCTGGGAGTAAATGTTGTCAGAAGATAGGGAATCAGGGAGCAAAGGCAAAAGAATATCCTAAGTTTCCATCCAGTTGCTGAGATGAAATCTTCTGATGAGAAGTACACAGGGAGCTAAAGGTTTATTTCAGAGCATAGTTCAGATGTACAGCCAATCATTTCAGGGCAGTAAGCCAGGAACCTGTTGCAGCTGGTTACATCAGTCCAGAGCACACAGAGAATGCACGCCTGCCCGCCAGTGCTCAGCTCACCTTCTCCCTTCTTTTGCCTCCCAGAACTCAAGCCCAAGAACAGCACAGCCTGCAGGGGGCTGCGTCTTTCCTCATGGATTAACTTAATGAAGACAATATCTGCAGAAATCTCGTATAACCATAGTACTCCTCACTTTCTAGATGATTCCAAGTGATTCTAGATTACATCACACAGACAGTCAAAACTAACCACCCCAGACAGGATGAGACAAAAACACAAAACAAGACCAAGCCGGCTAGGACTCCATAGCAAGACCCTGGTGTGATTGTTTGTTTGTTTTAAACAAAATGAAAAATACGTTTGTCAGTATGAAATTGTCCAAAAGAGATGAAACATAGCTCTGTGGCACTGTTTTGTTGTTCTGCTTTTGATGGTTTTGAGTCTGTATTCTTCTCAGGCTGCTGGGAAGTATGGCACTGTCAAATCACTACCGCTCTGAAGATTTATTAGATGGTGATACTGCTGCCGGAGGATTTCAGCAGAGACAGGGACTGAAATACTGTCTCCCTTTAACCTTTTGCATACATGCCGGTTTCAGTCAGTACATCGCTGTGGAAGCCGCCGAGGGCTGGAATAAAAACCGAAGTGTTCTACCAATGTCCAGACCAAATGGCTCGGAATCCTGCTGCTATTGACATGTTTATCATAGGTGCTACTTTTACTGACTGGTTTACATCCTATGTCAACAATGTTTTATCAAGTGGTTTCCCCATCATCAGAGACCATATTTTCAGATATATTCATGACCCAGAGTGTGTAGCAACAACTGGAGATATTACAGTCTCAGTGTCTACATCATTTCTGCCAGAACTCAGCTCTGTGCACCTGCCACACTATTTCTTCACATACAGAATCAGGATTGAAATGTCAAGAGATGCTCTCCCTGAGAAGGCCTGTCAGTTGGACAGTCGCTACTGGAGGATAACAAATGCCAAAGGGGATGTGGAAGAAGTCCAGGAACCTGGCGAAGTTGGTGAATTTCCAATTATTAGCCCAGGTCGGATATACGAATACACAAGCTGTACCACATTTTCTACAACATCAGGCTATACGGAAGGGTATTATACCTTCAATTTTCTGTACTTTAAGGACAAGGTCTTTAATATTGCCATCCCCCGATTCCATATGGCATGTCCAACCTTCAGGGTGTCTGTAGCCCAACTGGAAATGGGTCCTGATGAATATGAAGAGATGGAGGAGGACACTGAGGACACTGAGGAGGAGGAGGAGGAAGAGGAGGAGGAAGAGGAGGAGGAAGAGGAGGAGGAGGAGGAAGAAGAAAATGATGACTCGGCAGACATGGATGAATCAGATGAATCAGATGAGGATGAGAATGACTCAGATGAGGGTGAAGGGGAGGAGAGATGGAGAAGGGTCTTTGATGTTCCCATTCTCAGACGCCGCTGTTCTCGACTTTTTTAGCTGCTGCTGAAAGAAGCTCTGGGATGGCATTATTCTGTTCAATAGATTTGTCAATAATGTAAATAATTGTACTCAGCATATAGCAGGAAACTAGCATGAAATGTTCCAGACCTAGGCTCTACATGACACTACATTAAGAGTTGGATGGCTTTACTTTGTTTTGTGGTTGTACATAGAGGAAGAAATGGGAATTGTATGTTTTCTCTTCCAGGAGTCAGTGGGAGAGCAGTTCTCTAGCTAAAGGACAGATGTTCCTTTGTTTAAAGATATTTTCTACTTAAAAACAAAACACAGAGGTGAAGGGAAAATTGTTTTGGATGAGGATTGTCTATGTAGCAGAAATGCCCACACAAGGGTAGAGAGACTGTGTGGCTGCCTGTGCAAAGACCCGTTTAGTTGTTAGAAACTAACACAGTTTGTAATTAGCTTAATCCACTTCATGGTTGTTAATGTTTTATACTCATGGGGAACTAGATGGATAGCTTGAATAGGAATAGTTTGCCCTTTCTTAGACAATCTATCCTTCAATTAGTCTTTATCACACAGACCTGAGTTGCAAACTTTCATCTTTACTTTTAAAGTCTTCAACATAACTTTGCACTTTAAAGGTTAAAGTTTTCACGCTATGACCTCTCTCACATTATTTACAGATTCATCATTTTAAATGTAATTTGTAAAAGTACGTACGTAGAGTGTTGTTGAAGATTCTTCACAATGTCTCATGTAGTCTAAATTTATAAATATGCTTTCTGTTTTGTTTCTTCATACATTTGTCTAACTTTGTAGTAAGTGATCTGAATTTTATGTTAAGTTTAGGATATTTTCGTGAAACATGGATTTTTTTGTAATTATAAAAAAACCCCACAAAACAAGAGGCTACAAAAATGAACAAGTACTAAACAAGTCAGAAGAAGATGCTAAGAGCAAGTAGAATCCTGGAAGGAAAGTTAAGGTAGGGTGAACCACAGAGCCTGAGTCCTCAGTCTTCCCACAAAGGCCAGTTCCAGAAATACATTTGAAACAACAAGGAAACAAAGGCTTCTGGATCAGGGCTTCTCAACCTGTGGGTCGTGGCCCCTTAGGGGTCACATATCAGATGTTTACATTAGGGTTCACAACAGTAGCAAATTACAGTCAGGAGGTACCAACAAAATAAGTTTGTGCTCGTGGATACCAGGAATGAGGAACTGTGTTGAAGGGTCGCAGCTTTAAGAAGGATGAGAACCACTGCTCTAGCAGAAGGGAAGATAAACAGAAAACAAAAACTCATCAAATTCTCAAATGAGTCATGAGATTAACACTAAGGGGAGAGGAGTCATGTGAGGAAGACATGGAAATAGCCACGGGGGGTGGGGGGAGCACGCTTCCCTGATGCATCACTCTCCATTCCCAGGCTTCCCTGCTGCATCACGCTCCATTCCCAGGCTCAACCATTGTTAAGATGGCGTCACAGTTTAATTTCCACCTTAACATCAAGTAACCAGTCACCAGTCACTTACTCATTAACAGAAGCAGCCACCTCTGACCACACAAACTACAGTAAACAGCTTGTAGAGGGTCAAGTCATTCCACACACCAATCAATCTCTCTCTCTCTCTCTCTCTCTCTCTCTCTCTGAATCTTTCAAGATTTTTCCTCAGATTACCTTGACCTTTTGTTCTTCATCCAGATGCAGAAGTTCCAGCACCTCACTAATCCGTCTTCTTCTTTCATCTCTTGTTGTACTCCTTGGAAGACGAAGAGCTGCCGAGAACTCTAAATTCTCTCTCACAGTCACTGTGCCCAACACCACATCATTCTTAAGGGCAGATGGAATTTTATTAGACACAGTTATCACTGAGATTCACACAAATGTAACCTGGTCCACACAAACAACACACTCAGTGTAATGCTCCACTTAAAATAAGCTTTCAATGTCACTAACTCCAAACTCAGAGCCTGATCCAAAGGTTTCCCTCTCCTGTTCCATTTGCCTTCAAAACAGAGGATAGGAATTTTGATGACTGCTGCCTGTAATTACTTGAAGAAGACATATTCTAAGGAGTGGAGACAGATGAAGGAAGGACAAAGGTGGACAACAGTGGTCCTTTAGACTTAAGTCACAGCTGCGATTGCTAATACTGTGCCACAGATGTCAAACTTGGGGTAGTGAGTCACTATGAAGTGTTGGTATAGAAAAAGTGGGGCCTATGAGTATGTCATATACTTAACTGGAAAGTCTACAAGCTGAGCACCTGCCCATACCCAAGCATAAGAGGTTTAAAATTGCAACCCACCAACACTTACTTGTGGTACATAACCAGATGTACATTTGAAATCAGCAGCTCGAGGTTTACCATTTATCAAAATATCTCCTGATAATCCACATGGATCTCTCCTTGCAGCTAAGACATCCAAGAACCTACAAAGCATTAATTATATTATGTAGTTTATTTTCTCCTTTCAATGAAAATTATCATCCTTTAACTTCTCAAAACACAAATTTTGCATATTAAATACAGAAACATAATGTAATGAACAAGTCAACAGTTGAACTAAAATCACACACATACACTCATGTACCCACACAAGAACACACATGACTGCACATGTGAGGGGCGCGTGTAATCGTCTCGCCAGCAAGAACGCACGCGCACACACATCAAGATCCTTGCGTAGGAACACGTTTATTCCCAAAAACAAAATGGTGGAAGAAGACGCCCAGGCCCGGGAAAGCACTGCTTATATACCCTTAGAGCGGTGTATTCACCTCTGATTGGCTGCTTACTCATTGCGTGCCAAAATGCCGTGGGATGGGTTTTAACTTTGGCGGGCTTTTACCATGGCACATGCGCAATTTACTTGTTTACTAGGAAGAATCCCGGATGCCAGGCAAACGCGGCTTCAGCCAGCGCATGCGCGGCTTCCTACATGCACATACATACACACATACACTCACATCTTTAAGCTCATTATGTGCTGTAAGACAGCCCAGAATTTTGAATATAAGACATGATCCACATGACTACCATTCCCTGCTATCTGACCTTGGGGACCCAATCCAGTTAGTGTGCTGCTGTATTTTTGAGAATTAGGCCTGTTGATGCTTTCTTGCACACAGAAAACAACAACAACTACTACTATTACTATTACTACTACCACTACTACTACTTCTTCTTCTCCTTCTCCTCCTCCTTCTCCTTCTCCTTCTTATTACAATACTATCTGCCTACTTCATTAAATAATAATAGTATGTATCAACACCATATGCCAATCACTTTACCACTTCTTATTCATAAAGTGGACCCAGAAAGACTTTCTGTACTTTGTGGAAAATTAGAACACATCACTCCTACACATCATCCACAGCACAGAGGACCAGATTAGTTGTATTAACAACACTTAAATAACAGCCATGCAGGTGATTGGTTTTAACACATATGAACTGGATGCAAAGGGCTTATGTATGCTTTCTGCTATACTCACAAAGATCTGCTCCCATCCTGAGGTCCCATAATGGCATTGAGGCCAGGATTCATGATTCCACTGTAAACACAAAATCATACTGGTTTATTTTTCTATTTTAAAGAAGTTAAATTAGCGTGTGGTCTACATTGAAAATGGTTCTTGAAGTTGGATGCAATGGTAGACAAAAAATAAGGACAAACTCAGGAAAATATTAATAGAGACCTATTATTTATGAAAGATGTCAACTGCTAGTAAGGACTCATCAGAAAAATGCCTCATATCACAAAATTTCTTGTTTAATATTTAAACCATTTGTCTTTTTTGAAAAGCGATTCATCTAAGTTTAGTGTTTCTTGAAGTGATAGTCAGTTCTAATTAAGACTTCATTGTACACACAGCCTTTACGTGTCACGTATGTAACAGCTTCCCGCTAATGTGTGATGATCAGTGTCTTCGTAACCCTGCTTTCTACTAAGAGAACCTCTACATGAGAAGCCAACAATTCATAGGGTATCAGAAGCTCTGTCATTGCTATTAAAATGGAATAGAACCAAAATCAAGACACCTTCAGTAGAAATCCAAAGACTAGAAAGAAGCATTCCAGAGGATAGGAAAGAAAAACAACCTGAATCAAAATAGAAAACAGAAATATACATCCCACAAAATGATGGTTTCCTTCTCCGATACATAAATTAGAATACACTATGCTCAGTTTAGAATTGAAGTACTTGATGCAGAACATGGATATTCCTTATTGATGTACAGATACAGCACACACACACACACACACACACACACACACACACACGAATCAGTCTCAGAAAACTGATTGAATGCTTCAGAGTAGTGAATATTCAGACTGGAAAGGACATATTCTTATAGAAGCTTAGTTACATTTCCATTCATCATTTCACATTCAGATACTGTGACAATCCTTTGCCCTGTGCATGCCCTTCTTAGTAAGAAATGGTGGAAGTTGTAGGTAGAGGAGCAGAAATCACCAGTGCCCAAGAGCAATGTAGGGTTGGCCTTGGGAGAACAAGAGTGTTCAGACTGAGCGGGGGAAATCTTGATATGTTTGCTCTTCTTAGGATTTGTTATGGGCTGCTCTCTCTGTGGAACACTGTGTTTCCACATTGCTTTTGCTCTTTTTCGCTGTCAATGAACTTTGAGCAGATGCATCAGGCCCTGACTGCCTGCTGTTGGGCCTTCGCTCATTGTCCCCATTTCATCACTTCTGATTGACCCAGTCAGCCTCTCAGTTCAGTTTCAGGAGGGTTGTGAGCATAGAAATGTACACAACATTTTTAGATTTTTAACTTTTTAGAATTTAAAATTCAAATACTCCCTTATTGCCCGTTGACTTTAACAGTGTGTCTTCAGTGTTACTTCCTCGGCCCTAATTTTACTGAATTAAAATCATTTTTCATCTTCTTTTTTGGTGTCTAAGGGTTTGTCAAGCTTGTTGTCTTTCCAAAGAGCAAATTTTCTGTGTCATTAATCCATTCCATTGTTCTTTAGTCTTCACCTCATTACATTTACTGTGGTCCTGAGCCTATCTGTAGGTAGAACATGGTAAGGCTGGATTGATGGGGAAGCACTTAATAGGTAAGGACCTAAGTTAAATCCCCAGAACTAACATAAAGTTGAGTGCAGTAGTGAGCATCTCTAAAGCCAGCGGAGAGAGGAGACAGAGACAGGAAAATCCCCAGAAGCTCGCAGGCTACTAGCCTGACATACACAGCAGAGAAAAATCTGAGACTCCATCTCCAACAAGGGAAAGGTAAAGACTAATGCTTAAGTTTGTCCTCTGAGAGCCTTGTGCCACATGTGTGTCATAGCATCCACATACCTGCAGACATGCATGTGCGTGTGCACACGTGTGCTTACACACCACACACATACACAAAAACACACAAACATGCAGAGATACACACACATATACACACATGCACACACAGATACGTTTATACACACACATATGCACAAACACACACACACACACAGCTGATTTATAAAGAGAAAGTCTGTTTCCTGACACCGTTATTCCATACAGTGTTGTCTTTAGCTCATGGACATACCTGATGTTCGATAGTCTTTCTGTGGAAGTCTCTTTATGAAGTAGAAAGCCACTCTGCACTGTTTCTCGGTAGCTGATGTTGTGAAAACTTAACACAGCCCCTCCAGTCAATGTCTTCAGGTCACTGGTGTTTGTTTCATCAAGGTCACAACGATGTCTTTCTATCATTGGGATTTCAATGGGGTCATTATTGGAAGCCATCTCAAGAGGTTCTTCCTTCCTGTGGAAGGAAAAGCAATAGCAAGTTGAAGGTCCACTCGCGCACAATCATAACACAGATCGTCACACTCATGGTTTTAAACTGGGCTTTCATAGGTAGACTCCTTCCTGATGAACAGTACATAGCTCTGTGATACCTGAGGACCCAGATGAGAAGCACACATGACTGAGTACACAGACCCCTTAGACACCATATTCCTAAGAAACAAATGAGCATATTGAGCTGAAGATAAATGCTATCTATAATTAATAAAGAAAGAGACAGATGAGAGGGCAGATTTTTACTTACTTCAAAAGAATATTATGATACAATACGAGTTCAGAGGCAAAATACATGACCACCAATGACCACCATTAAGACCTCTCTCTCTCTCTCTCTCTCTCTCTCTCTCTCTCTCTCTGTCTCTGTCTCTCTCTGTCTCTCTCTCTGTGTGTGTGTGTGTGTGTGTGTGAGAGAGAGAGAGAGAGAGAGAGACAGAGAGAGAGAGACAGAGAGACAGAGAGACAGAGAGAGAGAGAGATGTTCACACATGCTAGCATATGTGGGAACTTGTAGGAGGCTAAAAACCTTTTAGCCCGATTTTTTCCCGATTGAGCTATTCTGTAACAGGGCAGCCAAAATATACAGTTGGTTCAAGGTACAGTGTCAGTAACGTGCAGACTGCTTCAGAGCACAGAGCTGACACCAGGCTTAAGTGAATCTATGGGAGCTCAAGTGGGCCATTTCAAGGGGGGGCTGATCATGGTCAGCAGAAATCCTGAGGATGGACCTGAAAGTTTGTTGCCTGTGTATGTGGTGATGCATACCTCAGGTGGCCTGGTGATGGCTCAGTAGGGACCCAAGAGAGGGCATTGCAGTGCTCATGGCTCTGGACAGACATACAAGCTTGGTTTCTCTGACAAGGTCTTCAAACATCCATGTGTCTAGGTGTTCTGGGCTTAATGTGTTCATAGGCATTGTGTATTTGCATTAATAAATTACTTAACAATCTATTTTTCACTGTGCTAGATACTTGCACACATAAGGTACAAAGTTATTTTGCTTCAGCATTTGGTTCCAAAACAGAGAAAACCACTGCTTTATAAACTGGAGTCCCTCGTGGCAAGGCTTACTCTGATAATTACTGTCCTACATAATACAAAGAAACACAGAGATGGGCACAGCCCGAGTTCTACACCCTCCATTTCTCAGACATTTCTAGAACCAGGAGCTTCTAAGTTCTGAGTTTGTCTGTGGTGGGCATCCGAAACCTTCCAGCAGAAGACATGGTGCCCTGGATATGCTGGTTTGTAGGCAGCCATAAGGGACAGTCGCAGAAGTGGGGGCGACTGACAGACACACTCGTGGTTCAGGCTGCGGAGGAATGAGGACAAGCAGCTGCCTCCTGCCACCAGGAACGACATGGCTTCTGTGGATGACTGCAGAGCCTGAGCGGTCTGAGCAGGTGGCTGGCAGACCCTTGGGTTCTGAAACTGCCTCATGCCACATGCTTTGTGCATTAGACAGGGGCTGCAATCTCCGAGCCCTAGTTGCAAGGATTACTCGGTTTCCACAGCTTCCTCCTCACTGCATGGTGTTTGCTGCTGGATAAGATCTGAAAATCTTAGGCAGGCAGAAAGCTCAGGTCCCAGGACTCCACTTCCTCATTGCAGAACGCCAAGTTCTGTTTGCCATCTCCACTTTCCCCAAAGCATCTGGGAGGCCCCCTCTTTGTTTAAACAAACCCCATAAACTGAAGAGTCCACATAGACCACAGGCCACAGAATCCTCTGGGCAGAAGGAAATAAATACACAAAGGAGAGAAGTCAGCAATGTGAACGATGCTCTGTTATTACAGCACCTGGGCACTGTGTGCAGCACCTGAGTACTGTGTGCAGCACCTGAGTACTGTGTGCAGCACCTGAGTACTGTGCACAACACTATCCTGTAAGGTGGCAACAGAGACCAAGGAGACATACCAACTATGACCTGATGCCCCAGACCTAGCAAATTCTCTGAGAGCAACAAGAGAGAGGCTCTTCTAATTCCCTGCCTTCCAGATATTAAAATTTTATGTGTTATTTTGATGTTACATTAGTTTAAATATTTTAAAATGTTTTAATGTTTTTTTTTTTAAAAAAAACCCTGTCTTATGTTTACTTAGTCTTGCTGTTGTTAACTTTAAGACAGATTCTCCCTGTATGGCTTAGACTTGCCTCAAATTTTTGATCCTGCTCCCTCAACTTTCAAAGGTCAGGATTACAAGCCTGCAATGTATCTATTTTCTTTACACATTTTAAGCTTTTGTAACTATAGTGTTTTTAATCTCTTGTTCTTCTCTCTTCCTCTCCTTTTCCTTTTCTCTTTACTATTTTTTTCTTTATCAGTTTCTTTTTTTTTTGAGAAATACAAAAGAAAGCGTTCTTGGGCTGACAGCTATACAATGTCTAATCTATAGTTTACAGAAAGTATCTAATTTTATAAATTTTTTTCTCAAATAGTAATTAATTCACACAGGGGTTATAAACACAGAAAGGCAGGATGTGGGGAAGGGAATGACACTGGAGTGTGGGTGTTCAGGGGGAATACAGATATCTTCACAACCGGGTATCGGCTGGGTGAAGGTTCAGGGGACAAGTTACTATGACTCTGCCTATGACTCGCTTGTCCTTATCTAAGTTGGTATTGTCTGCCAAGGCTACCTATTTACAAGGTCTATGACTACTCAGGCTTATAAATTTCCACAAAAGCTGCCTGTTGACATTAGCTTATAGCCATCTGTTTCAATGTTTTTCCACTGAGACCCAAGACTTGGTGTTAGTATACATGTATGACAGGCCTATTGCTGATTTTAGGCCTATGACTGATTTTAGGCCTACAGTGTGTAAGCAGGGCTGCCCCTGACATCTCCCCCCTTCTCTAAGTATAGACGGGCTGTGGCATTTCTAAACTTGCGAAGGCGGGGATAGAGGCCTGACCTCCAGTATTTGAAGGGGACCTTGTAATGGCTCCCGTCCCCCTGTCGTTGTCCAGTGAGGCATGAGGGCCATACCTGTCCCGATGTCTTTTTCCTGGAGAGGGGATACTTTTGACATCAACCCCTATGCAGTCAGGCTTGTCCCTCAGGGAACCCAGAGAGATATTTTTATCTTTTATTTATATTCCCTTGCAGTGCTTAGCCTCGCAGCCTAAGCAAGAATTCAAATCGCCTGTCAGAGGGGGTTCTGAGTGGCCCCTCTCTGCCTGGTCTAGGGGTGGAAGTACCCTCTTTTAGGTTGGGTGGAGATGAGTTTTGGGAACACCCTGTATAAAGTAACAACCTCATCTTTAGTCTTGTGGTCCTCCATAGCTAACTTATGATAATGTATCTGAGTAGGTTTTGCTACCAAATTATTTATCTGTTGTAACACAGAGTTACTCCGCCTATTTGAGGGCCAGGGACCAGCAGAAAAAAGCAAAAAGAACCCAAATAATGGTCCCAAGATTGAAGGAAATAGGGTTGACAACCTTGGAGAGGCTGCAAACCAATTCTTGTACCAGCATTCATCTGTCTCTTTCTCTCTCTGATTTTTCTTAGGGCCTTCACTACCTATTTTGTGCTCTCTTTAACCCTCCTTCTCTTGTCTATGTAAAGGTAACCTTCTTCTTTGAGGGTTGTACACAGTCAAGAGCTGTATACAGCCTTTTCTATTGTACTAGAGTAAATCAAGTCCAATAAGGATCTTTGTGATTTTAGGAGGTCTCTTCAGACGGTGAAACAAGGTATTTCTTCAGATTAGTGATGTCAATCTCTAGCTGTTTGATGTTCTTGTCAGTGGCCCTTCAAAGGTCTGAGTAGTATAAGTTCGGAGGCCAGCATCTGGATTAGAACTTCTAACCGCAGACATCACGGGTGATTCATTTTTACCTGGGATGCTGCCTGAGTTAAAGCTCCTGGGAGTCCCTCTTTCTCTCAGTTTTCTGGGGTTGGGTACGGAGCTGCCACCTGTGACCTGCTCTATGCTCGGGCCCAGACCGGAAGTCCCATCTTTATCAGTTTCTAACTTCATGTTTTATTCTAAATTAGTTTTGCCCATTACTTTCATTTTGCCTGTTATGATTATTGTTTTTATATTATTATTATTATGACTTGGCTCTGGTATTGTTACTGTGGCTTCTTTTCTCCACTTTAGCCAATGCTGGGAATTAAGCACTCAGTAGAAGGAAGCTTTCTTCACAAATCCTTACATGGCTATGTAAAACATAAACACTCTCACAGATGCACAATGAAGAAACACAAGAATGTGTAGAAACAAGGTAACACAACTTCCTCAGAAGATCATAACGGGTCAGCAACGGACATAAATGTATTTAATTAGGTAAAATGTTGAACAAATCATTGAAGAGGCTAACTGAAAGTGGATAGCAACTTCAGAAAGATAGACAACTGAAGGAAATAAGCAAAACAGTATAGGATCTGAGCAATAAATACAGAGTTTTTAAAAATGGAAATTTGCAAAAAAAACAAAAACAAAAACAAAAAAGCCGGGTGGTGGTGGCGCACATCTTTAATCCCAGCACTTGGGTGGCAGAGGCAGGCGGATTTCTGAGTTCAAGGCCAGCCTGGTCTACAAAGTGAGTTCCAGGACAGCCAGGGCTACACAGAGAAAGCCTGTCTCGAAAAAACCAAAAAAAAAAAAAAAAAAAAAAAGGAAATTTGGAACTTTGCAGATAAATGTTTAAACTTTAGGAGGAAGCACCCCGAGCAGACTAAATGAGCTGAAATATAAACTACTGGGGCTTCAAAGACAACGTGGTGATTTACTGCCCTCAGAGAGGAAAAAAGAAAAAACTATGCCCAGAGAACTGGACGGTGAAAGACTCAACAGGTGTGGCCTGAGCCAAAATGCCCAACAGTGGGAAGCTGCAACCCGAAGAGACCACCTCCAGGAGATAGACAGGGCCCCAAGTGGAGGGACAGAGTTCCCAACCCACCTTCAAAATTTCTAACCCAGAAGTTTTGCTGTCTAAAAGAACTGCAGGGACAAAAATGGAGCAGAGACTGAAGGAAAGATGGTCCAGTGACTGGCCCAACATGGGATCCATCTCATGGGCAGACATCAAACCCTGACACTATTACTGATGTTGTGCTTGCAGACAGGAGACATAGGTTTTCTATGTCTTCAGTCAGTATTTCAGGATTCGATTCTAATAAAATGCTCATGGCCACCCTTCTCCTCAGCTTCTTCCAGCCTTTCCCTAATTCAACCATAGGGGTCCCCGGCTTCTGTCCATTGGTTGGTTGTAACTATCTACATCTGGCTCTTTCCGCAGCTTGTTGGGCCTCTCAGAGGGCAGCCATGCTAGGCTCCCGTCTGTAAGCATGTGATAGCATCAGTACTAGTGTCAGGCCTTGGAGCCTTCCCTTGAGCTGGATCTCAATTCGGGCCTGTCACTGGACCTCTTTTCCCTCAGTCTCTTCTCCATTTTTGTTCCTGCAGTTCTCTTAGACAGGAACAATTCTGGGTCAGAGTTTTGACTATGGGATGGCAACCCCATCCCTCCACTTGATGCCCTGTCTTTCTACTGGAGGTAGACTCTACAAGTTCCCTCTCCCCACTGTTGGGCATTTCATCTAAGGTCCCTCCCTCTGTGTCCTGAGCATCTCTCGCCTCCCAGGTCTCTGGTACATTCTAGAAGGTCCTCCCACCTCATACCTCCTGAGGTTGCCTGTTTTCACTCTTTCTGCTGGCTCTCAGGGCTTCATTCCTGATCTCCCCCCCAAAAAAATAACTGATCATGTTCTCCCTCTCCTCTCCCTGACCCCTATACTCCCTAGGTCTCTCCCTCCCTCTGTCCCCACCTCCTGTGATTGTTTTTTTTCTCCCTCTCAAGTGCATTGCATGGTACCTCTAGTACCATAAAAGCTAGTCCTGGGGAGAAGGCATTCAAAGTCAATTCTAGCTCAGGGCCCTCTGGAAATGCACAGTATTTCAGCAATTTACCTGGAAGATGATGAACCAATTAAGTACTCAGCATGGCAGAAACACAGGAGAGACTGTGCCTCAACAATTTGGAAGAAAAGAACTGACTTTACAAGTTATCCTGTGGTCCCTCCACACACAATGGTCCTCCCCTCTCCAACACACTGAAAAGAGCAAGAGAAGCTGTGGAAATCATCTCCAGGTTTAAGTGATGCAAACATTCTTGCACCCTCTGAGTGTACTCAAAGCCACAGACTGTGCACTGTAAGTTGGTGAGGTGTCTAATGTTAATTCTGGAATAATAAAGCCAGCCCTGAAGAGAAAAACTGTGAAGCCACAGTCATCTCAACTACCAATTATTGGTTCACATCCTAGAGTGATGTGGGAAAAAAAATCTCTTGGAGAAGAAATTTTAGCTTCCCATGTGTCAATGTAGCTCGTGTGTGTGTGTGTGTGTGTGTGTGTGTGTATGTGTGTGTGTATGTGTGTGTATGTGTATGTGTGTGTGTATGTGTATATGTGTGTATGTGTGTGAGTCTGTGTATGTGTGTATATATATATATGTATGTATATGTATGTGTGTATGTATCTGTGTATGTATATATGTATGTGTGTATGAGTATGTGTGTATGTATGTGTATGTTTGTATGTATGTGTGTCTGTATGTTTGTGTGTATATGTGTGAGTATGTATGTGTGTGTGTGTGTGTGAATGTGTGTGTGTGTGAATGTTTGTATCAGTGTATCTGTATGCGTATATGTTTGTATGTGTGTATGTATGTGTATATGTATGTGGTATATGTTTATATGTGTGTATATGTGTGAGTATATATGTGCATATGCAGCATATGTGTGTATGTGTATATATATGTGTGTATGCATGTATGAGCGTATGTAGGTGTGTATATATGTGTATGTGTGTATATGTGTATATGTTTGTATGTGTGCATATGTATATATGTGTGTATGTATGTGTGTGCATGTATGTGTGGATATGTGTGTATATATGTATGTGTGTGTATGTATGTGTGCATATGTGTGTATGCTTATGTGAGTGTATGTGTGTGTGTGACACACACAAAGTAGGCTTTTCAAGTTCTTTAACTTTCTTAATCCACCTTAATTCTAATTAATTTCCTCAAGAGCTGATTCTAAGACTTCCTACTTCAAACAGTTTTCAACTACAATCAAACTTAAATCAAAAATAATCAACAAAATGTCTGAGGTGACAGGAAAATTGTGCTGAACTGATCCTAGTCCTCATGTACTGAATGTCACATGGTGCCCCCAAAATATATGTAATGTGGCTAAAAGGTATTTACCAAATACTTACAGAACATGAGATTCACATAACCACATATGAACTCTCTGCGTATCTTTAAATAAGACATGCTCATCAAGGGTGTCTGTACCACACAAGGTAAGGAAAATGACAGCCACAGCCCCCCTCCCCATGGGCACACCTGCTGACGTTATGCCATGGTTCAAGCACAGTCTTCCTTTGAGTCTCCTCTACATGCCAAATTAACACATACGTAAAAAGGTTCCCTCAAAACCAAACTGGCAAGAGCCTCCCTAAAAAGCAGTGCACTTCCCTTGTTGTTCTTGAGCTGTGGGGCTGAGCAACCCCTTCTTGTTATGGTCACAGTAATGCAACCTCAGGGGCTGGAGAAATGGCTCAGCAATTAAGAGCACATACTGCTCCTGTTCCTGGCACCTACATAATCCAGGGACTTACAACACCTACAACTCAGCTCCAGAGGATCCAGTGCCCTCTCTGGCCTCTATGGACTCCAGTCATGCAAGCAGTGCACCTACATACATGCAAGCAAAAAACTCAGACACATAAACGCATCAATCACCTGAAAATGCCACTTTCCGCCTCGAGGGTCCCTCAGTGCACCTGTGGCCCTTCTGATTTCCTCATGTCCACGGCTTTCGCACAGCCCCCCCACTCTAGATTGCATTTTATTTCTGTTTATGATATTTCCCCTCTTTTCAAAAGCTTCACAGATGCTCAGCCATAGTATGTGCAGAAATAGTTCTGCATGTGTTTGTGTCTTAATGCACATTGATCCAAGAGAACACACTAAGTTGGGTTAACACCATAAGGAGATCTCATGTAAAGCGGTGTCTCTATGAACCTTTCTGACTTTCTAGAACTAAAACGAGTCACTACATTTCTAGTACTACAGAAGAAAATAAAACACGACAGCATTGTAGATACTCAATCTACTAAAAGGTTTGCAATCCAATGATTTTGGTCTTTGATTTTCCTGTCTGTTGAAACCTTTTCGGCACTATCTGAGAGATTGCAGGACACATTTTATATCATGGTATAAAGAAAAATAATAATAATAATAAAAACTGCCCAGCTCCTTTAAAATAACAGTGTTAACAAATTTCTATGCACTTCTGGTATCTCTGCTACGCAGTAAAACTTTTACCAGCCCAACATCAACTGTGTTTGCCTTCATACATTTGGAAATCAAAAGTTGTACACTGCCAACCCGCCCCAAACAGGGGCCCTCTACGGACTGCATGATGTGGCCAAGTTACTTTGCATTTCACACTTGCAATTGAAGCTGCAGTGGGTTTCCCGGCCCTCCACTGAACTCTTCAGCATCCTGCTCGCCCACACTCACCGTTGTCAGATAATGCAGGGGCCCAGGCTGCTACTTACAGAGGAGGAATTGCAGCTCCGACCTTCGGAAGGCGCAAGAGGCTTCCGCCCTGCTGAGCTGAAGCCTCTGTGGTCAGGGGCGGTGATCTGAGAACCGAAAGAGAGGACAGGAGAGGAAGAAGCAGTGGGGCGGAAGAGGAGGTGGGTCGCGCCAAGGCCCTGGGGGAGGGGCGCACAGTGAGGAGGACGCCATAGGGGGCTCCCTGGAGTGGGGACGACCCTTGGGCCAGGGGCGCACCTTGGTGCAGGGGCTAGGCATGGTGGGGAAGGGGCAGGGTGGGGGAGTCTCCATGGGGCGGGGTTGGAGTGGCGCCTTGGGTTGAGGGCTCACCTTGGGGTCCAGCCAGATCCGGAGACCTGGGCAGAGATTGTGCCCAAAGTCAGATTCACATCAGTGCTGGACTCTGAGAAACCAGTTTACAGGAAGAGGAAAAGCGAAAGTAACGGTTTCTGTGAGGTGTTTGGGGTTTGTTTTGTTTTGTTTAACAAATGCAAGAAAATAAAACAGGAGATGAATATATGCTTATCACAGAACAGGACAAACTCGAGTCAGGACAACAAAGGATATATTTTGTTTTGTTAAGCCTCCATGTTGTTAATATAATTTGATTTATAGCTTCTTTATATATCTGAAGAAACCAATTAAGAAATAATTCAGTGTCCCTGTAATTGAGAGGCTGAGGCAGAAGGTTGGGAGTTTGGGTGCCAGGCCTGAACACCGAACTCTATCTCAAAAAGAGCAAGAAGAGGGCACAGTGATTAACTGTGGACTGTTAACCTGGGTCAGACTGTGCACTGTGTGCAGCATAGGACGCACCCTAGGCCAATGTTGAAGTAAGATTTCAGTACTCGAAGTTTTAAACATTCAAGCATGGATTCAGAAGGGACATCCAAATCGGCCCCCGACACCCTACCCTCACTCCCGTTTTACAGTTTTAGCTTCTAGACATGGCCACCTGTCCTGGAATGAAGGAGATGGTTGTACCTCAAACCTGACTAAAATCTCTTAATTATTTTACTTATTTTTATATGTATGGGCATTACTGCCTGCGTGTATGTCTGTGCATAACTTCCATGCCTGGTGCCTACAGAGGCCAGAGAGGGCTCCAGACAATCTGGAAGTAGAGTTACAGATGGTTGTGACCACTCATGTGGGTGCTGTCAATAGAACCCGGGTCCTCAGGCAGAACAGCAAGTGCTCTTTACCATGGAGCCATCTCTCCAAACATGACTGAGAGCTTTTAAAATCAATTACAAGCCTACATTTTCTGATTTGGTAGGAAGACAGTACCATTAAGTGAGCCGTCTTACTTTCTTGGAATAACTACTGAATGGAAGTTTGTCAAGAGACGTCCTCAGTTGTGACGGCGAGGTACTAATGATCTGTGCTGTGAACTTGAAAATAAAAGCTATGAGACTACTTCCCGCAGAGCAGTGACAGCGTAGGCCTTTAATCCCAGCACTTGGAAGGCAGAGGCAGGCAGATTTCTGAGTTCGAGGCCAGCCTGGTCTACAGAGTGAGTTCCAGGACAGCCAAGGCTACACAGAGAAACCCTTTCTCAAGAGAGAGAGAGAGAAAGAGAGAGAGAGAGAGAGAG